CCATGGTTCTTCCTGGCTTCTCTCATCCCACACAGCTCCCTCCATCTGAGGGCAGAAAGACAGGAGAGACAGACGGACAAGGAAGGGATCAGGAAGAGTGTAACGGAGATAACTGTGCAACACAACATTGCATATGACTATTGTCAGGTTAAAAAACTTAGAAACTCCTGTTTTGAACATTCCTGTGTCTTTGTGGAAACATTTCTATGACCTCTTGTTCTGATAAAAGCTTTTCAGAGCCCATTCAATAAGATAAAAAAAGCTTTGTGAGACTTACTGTTGAGTGTTCGGGTCATAAACCTCACAGTTGTTGAGGACCCTGCCTGACACATTATTGCCCACCGTGCCTCCACAGACGTATATGAGCCCGTTGGCCTCCACTGAGCCGTGGCTGCAGCGGGCCATCAGCATGCTGGTTTTCACCTGCCAAGACTCTGTTCTTGTGTCGTAGCATTCAAAAAGGTTGAGGGCAGAGCTGCCTGCAGACACACACATACAGTACATAACACTGATTAAATGCTTTCACCCACGAAGCATCATCAAAGCCAACTGTCCCCAATCCCAAGGTTCCACGTTAACCCCTTCCACCTCCCTGTTGCTCACCCACTTCCGACCCCCCAGATGTGTAGATCTTGCCCTGGGCAGCGCAGGCAGCCAGGCTGTCACGAGGCGTGGGGGGGCCCAGCTTGGAGTACCAGCTGTCCTTCAGTACGTTGTAGCAGTCCATGCGCTTGATGGGGAAGAGCTGTGAGCCGCCCAGGATGTAGACTACATTGTCCCAGAAGACGGCTGTGGCGTCCCGGCGTTTCTCAAAGGGACAGCGGATGTCTGTCCAGGTGGAGTCCTGCACGGAAAGCCAGACTGACACTTAAAGACTTGTTTGTTTATGCAATATCTAATCTGATTAATGTGAAACAGTACCCCAGTACCTTGGGGTTGAAGTAGCGGCAGGACTGAGGCTGGGAGCCTCCGAACAGAGCGATGCGGTAGTCGTGCTTCTTGCGTCGCGGTCGGCTGCTTTCTCCCAGATCCTCCCGGTCCTCCAGGGACAGCAAGTGGTAGCGCATTCCACCTGGGACGAAAGCACATGTAACATTTTCCTAAACACAGCAGACAATGTCAACTATTCCATTATTACACCACTTTTTTGTGCTCCTTCATATGAATGTAATGCACTCAGTATTATGTGTGTACACTTTTAAATAATGGTTTCTGTGCATGTGTCTCTTCCCACTCACTAATGACCATCTTGAGACACTGTGGGTTGTCCTGGATGAGGGGCTCAGCCTGCACCGTCTTGGAGAGGAAGGTTTTGGAGACCAGAGGAAAGCGGACGCAACCCAACACCTCCACCATGTACTGCTGCCTGTTACACACATCGTACTTCAGCCAGCGCACTGCTGCGTCATAAATCTGTACACAAATGCAACAATGGGGGTTACTGTTTTTGTTCTGAGCTGATGAAAAACCATTTATTCGGCAATCCAAATACTTCTCATAATTTGCACATAATACTTCACAAAACATTGTTAGGGACGTATTATTTTGCTACACTCTCGAACTTAAGGGCCAAAAGTTTCCATGAATATTGCAGACATTTTTTTTCTTTAGCCTTTTCTTAAAGATTCTAGCACAAAAGAAATGAAGCATATAGTCAAAGAACTTGTGCATGTGTACCTGGGCCTCAGCACGGACAGTGAGTTTGTCCTGGTGCAGCAGGTGTGTGAGCTGTGTGACATCCAGTTGTAGGAACTCGTCCAGTTTGTAGACTTCAGTGAAGTGGAGCTGGAAGAAGTCCTCTGCTGCTGCCTTTAGCTCAGGACAGTCCATGCAGTCTGCCAAGGAGGAAATACCTGCACAGAAGGAGCAGTCAGTCTAGTAAGTTACAGGATGTGGCAGGCATGACCCAAACACAGATGTGGAGAGAGATAACTTAATGCTCCTAATTGTACAAACCAGGCACAGATGATGTTGATTGTATTTTTGATCTTACCAAGGCAGTTTGTTGCATCAATTTGTCCTTTGAGGAACTCAACGCACATCTTCTTGACAGGCTCAATCTGGTACTGGTTGGCTGCATCAAGCAATGACTGGACGTTACTGCTGTTCACAGAAATCCTGGCACACACACATACACACATACTTTATCATCAAAGAGGTCTTTCTGATGAAATTGTGTGAAAGTACTTTTTCTAACCAATTAAGCCACAGTCTCATTCAGTATGTATATTTTAAACTGTGCTGTAGGCCTCAGAACGACCACTCCTACGTGTCACTATTGATGCTGTACTTTTGGTCAAGAGTCTTACCGTGCTGTGTAGATAAATTCAATCAACAGCTCAATGATCTCAGGCTCGGCACTCCTGAGCTCCACCTCATGGGACATTGACTCCATCATTCTGGCTGGAGTTGAGGGAAAGGAGGTAGACATCATTATAAATAAAACATACAAGAAATGTTTTCCTTGCTATGCTTGAGAACAGTTTGAGGAGCACTGCGTAATTAATAATTTGTGATTTGGTCTGTCATGATTTTGACTTACAAAATCATTAATCTTGCTATGCTGGACTACAAACATTTTGCTTTTGTGTTTGAAGCCATAATAAATCTTGTGTTGAGAAAAGTATATTTTTCATTTAATTATCAAGACTTATAACTGATATTTTTAATATTTAGAGGTTCACTGTGTTTAGGATTTAGGGTCATCTATTGGCAGAAACTGTATACAACACTTATAACTGTGTTTTCATTAATTAATAATCACCTGAAAATAGGAATTGCTGTGTTTTCTGTTCATATCTACGTATGGAGCAGGTCCTCTCCATAGATTTATAGTAATAACTAAATACCGTATGATTTTTGTTCGCTTTTCTCAGCTCCAGGGAAGTTATACAAATATAAAACCTCCATGGATCAAAAATTCATGATAAAAAGAGTCATAATTGACCTTGTTTACATTTTGAGGTGTCCTGTCAACAGATTCACAGATGCCTCTTTTATAATGTTGGCCTAACGGGAAAATGCTTTTTAGGCTGCAGAGGATTTTTTGCTGCAATACCACAAGTAGCCACAAACATTTGGCTGCAAGGCTGAGCAGAGTTTCTGAGGGCCTGGTCCTCTCCCATGGAGTCAACCATGTTGTTTCTACAGTAGCTCAGGACGGACAAATTAAACACTGGCTCTAGATAAGACCATTCATGTTTCTCAATGTGGACTGTATAACACAGCTGGATGACATGACAGCTCTGCGAAAGTGAAGCCAAAACATCTTGTTGGCTAGCTGCAGCATAGGTCATTAACCCTACCCCCTGCATGTCAGCAGATGGTACATGGGCCAAACTAAAAAAAAATCAAAGTACACATCAAATAAACTTTTCCCAAAGACAGTTTCTGTCATTTGGGTAATTTTAATTGCACTGTTCAAAGTTCAAGTGTTCATCTGTCTTATAAGTTTGGTTATAACTGTTATCTAATGCTATAAAAAGGGGTTTGACGTGATGATTGACAGCTGCGTGTTCCAATCGGTGTGCTTGTGATTACTGTTGCAGCAGGATCTCAATACTGCGAAGATCCCTTCTGTGCAAACTCTGGCTCCAAGTGGCGTCAACAACGCAAGATGGCAGCGACTGTATCCAGGATATTCTGACTTCATTTTTGCACATATTCAGTCATTGCTCAGCCATAATATCTCTTACGGGCTTGGCGCATGGGAGAAGATTCAGTTCTGCCACCTCACCGCCAGATGCCACTACATCCTACACACTAGGCCTTAAATAATGATCAGAATATCTAAACACTAGACTGGGAAGTTTTCTTTATCTTCATATTCAACATTCACATGTCTCTGCATCCTTGACCTCCAGAAATATGATGTTCACCTAGAAATCACACTACTCCTAATGGCAGCAGAGACAATTTTCTCATTGCTGTGGTCCACCTGGACCCAATGTACTAAATACCAAGCGTGTCTGCCTGTGATTGTGCGTTTTTGTGTCCACACTTACTGGTAAACATGAGGCTGAAGAAGTGGCTTGCAGCAGCCAGCACTACTCTGTGGGCTGAGAAGTGTTTCCCCTGAACCACCAGGGTCACATCACAGAGAGTACCCTGAAGAAAACACACACACACAAAGCATTACATGGACACACACTTACAGTATATGCTGCGTGTTAAACCCTGTTACACACATACACTCTTGTCCTCTTTTGTGTCTCTGTCACACACACACACACACACACTTGCACACCTGTTTCCTCAGGTTGTTCATGACTCCCATGATGCTGGACAGCTGTCTGTACTCCTCTTTGGTGGCACACTTCCTCTCGCTCTTCTTCTTGGTGCTCGCCGCCTTCTCTGGAGAGGCCACCCCCGTCATATTGGCCTGATTAATGTAATGTGTTCAGTTATGGCAACAACACTGTGACTGCCAGCAGTGTGCAGCTGCAGCAGCTGCGGTCTCTTTGTCGTGTAGCCGCGTACACTGTGCTTGCTAGCAGCAGCCAGCAGCTCGTTGTGTAATTAATAATTAAAAAGCCGCGATTTGACGCGAGCGTCTCCTTACAAACTCGTAGAGCAAAAGAAAATCATAACGATGAACTTGCTGTCATGTGAAATAGTGATAAAACGGGTTAGCGTAGTGGTATTTTGTAAGCTGGAGCTAGCTTTTGGCTGTGGGTTTCTTCTTCTACGGTTTTGCTTTGGTTGAAGATGCTCGCGTTCGCCCCCCACCGACAAATACGAGGAACTACACGTTAATATGCGGGATTGCGGAACTGAATCATCCTTTAAAACAGTTTGTAGATACACAGAATACATTTTGGTATTCAAAATAAACAAACATACAATACTTCGGGTGTTTTTTCCTCTCGGTAAAGCAAATTTTTTAATTTACTATACCCAAGGAGTTACAGCTAATGGCGCCAGCAGAGTTTTGTTTACCTCGCTGCAGCAGCTCACCTGTAGGCGCACCTGTCTGCCTGTCGCGCATATCAGCACAGCAACTCAGAAAACATAACCAGGAAGAAAAGTTTTATTGGAGTCGCATGACGCTGACGTCATTTGGAATGTGCGGACGACAGATGCAATTGTCAGAAATAATTGACCCGAGAACAAATCAGCAGACCCCAGAGCTGCAGAAATATGCTCCGCTTTCTCTGCTGTTGCTGCTTCTCAGGTGAAAACTCCGCCAACGATGAGGTATGTGTTTGTTTATTGGCTTTTGTGTGCATGTTATTGCGTTGTATTCGAGTTCAGACGAGAAACTTGTCCAGTGCTTTGCCTCACTTAGATTTTTGGATGAACCCCTTTACTGCTAGTGTAATCTAAGAATGATCAGAGCTACATCCATGGCTGGATTATGAGACAATTGAACCCTGGGCACAAATATGTAAAAGGCCCCACCACCTCCCCTACATAGGAGCAAGAAACAGACTTTGTGGTGATGTAGTGTGGTTTTTTTTTTTTTATTTTAATTTGTGTCATTTTGTATCTCATTGTGGTTATTTAGTGTGTCTTTTTTATGATGACCACTTGGGTGTCAGCATCACACTCAGGCTTTTGTGAGTCAGAGCTTTATTTTTGTTTGGGGGAGAAAACTGTCTGAGCCGTTGTCACCAGTTTTGTGTTACAAACCTCTTTTTGGACGCTGAAACCTGACCTGTACGACAACCACATCTGCCCACAACAATTCCTTTGACAACTCCCTGGAGATAAACCACATCCCTACACTTTGCAGATCATTTGTGTCTCTTTGTGGTTATTTTGAGTTTTTCCTGGTCAGTATATGATCATTTGAGTGACATTTTGAAGTTGAAGTTAAGTAGTCCATCCACGACTATCCCCATTATAAAGATTTATGTATTTGAATTATGCTGTCACAGATAAAAAAAGTACCCCTGACAATATTTTCATTGTGTCTCACGAGAAAAGGAAAATTTCAGCTAAATCACGATCATTTTATAGTTTTGTCACAAAGTCCAGTGATACAATAAAACCTTAAAGTATAATAAGGTTCCCATAAAGGGAGTATGAGCGACACAAGACACTTGAAATAAAAGTTTTTTGTGTGAAACATGAACACTTGGGAGGTGCAGTTTATGACTCAGTAGTCACATGTGTCCAGGTGAGCCTTATAATTGCTTTATTTCTTCTTCTTCTTCTTCTTCTTCTTCTTCTTCTTCTTATGAATTTCCAGCAGCCTGCTTTATTTCCCTTCCTGAAAAGTGCCACTAAAAACAAACTCATTCTACATAAAGACAACAAACAACTCTGCTGTTCTGTTTCAGAGACAGCCTCTCCTGCACCCCACACCGTCTGACCTGAATGGAGCTGGCTCAGCCAGGCAGACCCGGTCAGCGCACAGTGGTACATCATTTCTCTAAATGTTCATGTGTCTTTTCTCTCAAACCTGTATACTTCCATAAAGTTAAGGATGAATTTGAACTACATGTGTCTTTCTGTGTGTGCCTGTTGTGTGATACTCTTTTTCCTCCTCAGATGCACACATTGTGAGGCGGATTGGCAAGCTGGTGATGAGGCGAGTGTGTGTGCCAGAGTTGGACCAGAGGTTTACTGACATGGCCGAGACCTTCAACGAACAGCACGAGCGCCATGAGGCTATGGTCAGACATATCAACAACCTGCGTCAGATCTACGGCTGTAACCGCAATGATACCTTGACTTTATCCGAATGTATGGGGAGGATCAGAGATCAGCATGGTAATTGGCACACTCAGGAAATGCAGTGGCAGGTTTTCTTGCTTCAATGTTCTGCTTCCTTTATTTCTCTGTTTCAATCTCCATCTCTCCCCTCTCTCAGATTCCAGGTACAGGGTCACACTTAAGCTGAAGGGCTATGACTTCTCCCTCGATGTGGTTTCTGTGGATGAAAGTGAGGAGGAACCGCTGCCTCCGCATTTGCGATTGGCTCAGGATGAAGTGAAGGGAACCTCTGAGAGTGCCAAAGCCACAATCTCAAAGGGTGCCACGCTTCAAGAGATGACTGGCTGGCTGCTCCGTAGCAAGGATCAAATGGCTGAGCAAGTGAATGCAGCTGCAGCATCCTACCAGGAGCAGGGAAGATTGAATGAGAACCTGGAGGAGAACATGAAGGAAGTGAGGAGGGCGAAGGAGCTGTCGCTGGGATACAGACAACAGGCTGGGGAAGTCCTCACTGAGGCTTCAGAGATAGCAGGGGCTTATCTGTAGTTTTAGATACTTAATCTGAATCCACCAATTATAATACATGCATACAGGATTTGAATATTTACAGAGTTTATGCACACCTTGAATGCCATGCATGCATTCAAATGTACCAAGTATACTCTCTGCTTATTGCAGCCTGTCCTGTCATATCATTTTTGTTATATGAACACAAAGACTTGCAATGATGTCTGCCTTTTAAATGTTTTATCGAAATTTTAAGAAATGTAGCAGAGACTCACTTTAACACTTAAAATGTATTGTATATGTGAAATTTAGTTTCTTCCTGGATGGGTGTAATCTTACCAGCTAACATTAGGGGGCACTGTAGGCTCACTTTTCTATTCTAACAATTGCTCTTCATATCATATGCCTTTGGTCTGGTTTTCAGAAATTGCACTACATGGATGAAGATACCCTAAATTTCAGAATCATGTATCAAAAATAATAAATGTGTTACTTTCTTCTTTTTAAGAATTTTGTACCTGATTGGATGCTTAAATTTTTGCAAATCTTTGATTGTTCTTTGGCTCACCAAATGTGTGAGCTTTCTGATTGTGAACTGCACTGGATTACACTTTTTTTTTTTTTTTTACAAGCCAATAGAGACAGGAAATAGTTTCCTATAGCAGCAGTGGGAATTGGACCAGATGTTTGTTGTAATTGTGTGTGTAGTGTCTTGTTATTGTAACATTTAGAGGGAGCAGATTTACTGATTGTTATCCACAAAAGCCCATGCATTTATCAACTGATTAAAAACCCAAGCTTTCCATCTGCTATTAACGTAAAAGCAAACAAACACATGGTCATATGCCATCTTGATAATTAATTTCGGAAAATCCATTGTTCCAGAGGTCATTGTCAAGTGGTCATGCATTATTAATGCAACTGAGACAGTTTTAGAATACTGCATTCACCTTAAGCTTTATAGATTAATTTGGCATTAAGAGTGCAGCATGTGGGGGTTAAAACCTGAGAATGAGTTCATATCTAAATGAAAAAGTTTGGGAATTAAAAGAAATAAACAACTGATTAAAAAATGTGTATATTTAATAAGGGCAGACTATATTAATTATGGTCTTCATGACTTTTATAATGTTTAGGCGACAAAATGGTTGAAATAAGGTAGCCTAACTGATTATGTTTATAATAAATATATTTTAATCAAATGCATCAAAGACAGTTATGGACTAAACACTGCTAAAATGCAGTTTGTAAGCTGTAATATAATAATTTATTCTTACAATACAAGCCTAAACCAATTGTCAATTCATAACTTATTAATGTGATTTATTAAAATCACCTCCTGTAGATCACTCTGCTGTCAAAGAGCATTGACTGACAGCGACAACGTACCTTGATCGTGGAAATTATTAACATGCAGCCAATAGTCTAATCTGATTGGGTGTTGCGCTCAGGGGGCGCGGCATTTATATTATATACTGCTCACTCATTGGCTCAGACGCCTGTCACTCCGTAGAGACCGAGTCCCCTTGTCTAAGGTAGTCTGAGTGGAGAAAGTAATGAAGATGGAAGGAGCTGATGTTGATGAATTATTGAGGAGATTTATGGAGTAACGAAGTGATAGCCGTTTACTTGTCTTGTCGGAACGACAGAGGACAGCGATACCAGGGAATTGACAGATAGCATGTCCGTAAGTAAACCGTAACTTCCCCTGTTAACTTGGTGTCGCGCCTTAGCCGAGCTAGCTAACTAGCTAATCTGTAAGCAACCGTTGTGACAGTCAGAAGTCATTCAGCAAGCCCGGACAGAAAGTGTGTGACAGCGGAGGATTCATTTACAGTCTCTGCTTGGTACTAGTTAATAAATACACTGAATTATATGGCTGGGGAAGCTAATGCTTGCCCTTGAGCTACCAAAACCTTGAGGAAGAATTTTACGCTGTTTAAACGCAGACTGTGGCACCGGTTGTCATTGTGGCAGACTAGCTGGTTAGCAGTGCCAGGGGACATATGTAGTTATTATTTTACATAGCTAACGTAAGATAAGATGATATGAAACAGGAAGGTTTCCTTGTATGTGAAGCAAACGAGCTTGTCTTTGCTCCCATTTCGCTACAGTAGTAGATTAAGTCACGTTTGCCACAGAGACAGACTTTGTACCTGACTTTATCCTGTTCAGTATCAGCTGCATGTGTGTGTGATCTGTCAGGACCTTGTTAAGATACTTCCTCAGGTGATTCATGTATTGCTATATACGTGTGTGTGTGTGTGTGTGTGTGTGTGTGTGTGCCCCAGTTTGGCAGGGGCACAGACACCATTGTAGACTGGTATGGTAAAGAATGCGTTGTTGGGATTTTTCTAGTAGCTATCATGTGATGCATCTTTCCTCTGTACCACTCATCCAGTTCAGGGGTTTCCTGTAGGATGGGAATTGCTGTGAAGCTTTGCCGCAGAGCCCCATGGCAGTCCTGTTGCATGAAAAGAGCTCCTTCACTACTGCACATGTCAGAAGTTGAATTAATGTTCAATCTGTACCCTTCACAATGTCTGTGCTTCTGGTGGTGTGCCAGACATTGCTTTAATAAGATACAGTTTAAGGGTTAGTTCATAGGTTACCCTTTGCTTTCCATAAATGTGTGTGTTTGCCTTTGTTATTAAGTAGAAGCTTGTCCTGTAGCAGTAGATGGGTTTGCCGGGTGAGTGATTGTGCACTGTTAAAGTGGTATTACTAGGATGTGAATGTATGTGTGTCCACCCGTAATAAAAGTATACCCAGGCTTGTTAATGTGTGGCATCCGTAGCTGCTAGTGTTCCGAGCCTTTTAATGCTTTTTGACAGTGAAGCCCGGCAGGTCATGGAGCAAGAAGATCGCACGAGCTCTGTTGTCATCCAGCATTACTGTTAGAGTCACCCATGCCCGTGGGTTCATGAAATATCCTGACAGCTTGAGCAATGAAAATCATTGAAAGCCTTTCCATTTAATTCTGCGCACAAGCACAGTATAAGTGAAACATAGAGGGTGATTTTTCCCAGCATAAGTATAGACACCAGTAGATGCCACATGCTTTTAGCTCTGCATAAAATCTAGAAAATAAAGCTAATGAGCTGAAGCAAAAGTGGTATTTAAATATGAAATTCCAGTGCTGAGCATTAATAGATTACGAGAGAGTTATCCAACTGTGGCAACAGAAGCTGAGACAAATGGAGAGGAAAAAGGCGACAAGAGAGAGCCCTAAATTGAAAAATCAGCGATGTTAATCATTGGTCTCTTCAGGCTCACTTTCCACAAGAAGACAGGGAATTGAAGGGATGCGTGGAGGGGTGAAGATGCATCACTGGCTTAGAGGCAATGGAGAAAAGAGCGTGGGCTGCTATAAGAGGATTCCTCCTTGTCAGATCTCTGTATCTGTCTCCCTCAGCAGCAAAAACCACACACACAAACCACAGACTCTGTTGTCATGTCTACTTAGCTACCAACAGTCTTCTACTTCGTGTGTGTGTGTGTGTGTGTGTGTAAAAGATGAGAAAAGAAAACAAACAGAATAGCACAACCCCCCTTTTTTCTTGAAGCTATATGCAACCTGCTACTGAAGAAGACCAGGGGGGAGAGCAAGGTGGGAGGTGGTGATGCAACAGGGTTAACCGCAGGCCAGGAAAAGTTCCAAATAAAGAATACAGCAGTCGACAACATGAAAAGATGTGATATGAACTGAAGAGAGATGTCAAAACAAAATGCTACAGTCCCATGAGTGGACAAACAGTGTAAAGAGCTCTTAGCACGGCTGATGAGCACCAGTTCAGGTGAAGCTGTGAGCTTAGGGCATGTTAGAGGCTCTGCCCTTTATGACCACGGTTATATAACCCTGCCACAACCTTTATTTGGACAACCCACAGCTCCTCAAAATAGTGCCTTAACAGCGTTTGCTTCCATTCAAGTTAAAACACGCTAAGAGTCACTGGTCCAGTGTGTTGACAGTTGACACTGAGGTGGTTGGTAGATCTTGGGTGGAGTCGATGTTGATACAATACCTCGTTTTGATGTTGGTTAGTGAAGTTAAACAGTTTGTCAGTGGCTTGGGTGTGTCTGTACAAGAGTGAAGTCAGCTGAGTTAAAGTTTATTTCAGCTTACTCGATATATTTTCCATCTTCCTGTAGCTTTAATTCACCGAGGGCTCAGTATCTTAGGTGTCATTGTCATTATCAGCCCAACCGGTAGTTTGTGTGGCTTACACCGGCACCACAGGAAAAAGCAGCTGGGGCAGCCCTACCACTCTCAAAACCACCCACTTTATCTGTCTCTCTCTGCTTCCTTTCTTCCCTCCATTCAAGCTTTCGGTCTTATTGGTCCTCTCACTTCCTGAAAAAAAGAAGGCTGCAAAGCATATGTGTAATAGGAAATGAGGTAATCAGCAGGGAAGGCTGCGTTTGTGTGTGGGTGTCCCCTTAATTCAGTCTCACTCGGACTCTCGTCACTTCTCAGGCAGCTTTCCCAGACAGGTATGTTCTTGCTTCACTACAGAGCACCGGAGGACACTCAGTGTTTTGATAGTGCCGATTACCTGTTGTTGTTTTTTTGTATTAATCCACATGAAGTAGTGTGTGTATGGTGTGCTTGCTTCAGTTGTTGTACAGTAACTCTGTCTGGACATACAGGCAGTCTTACAACAAGGATTAGGAATGTAAACTCAAAGGAGACCTGTTTGTGTTGGAGGAAGCCTTCGGAAGGAGGAGTCAAAAATAAGCTCATTTAGACTGCCAGCCCAGTGTGTGTGTGTGTGTGTGTGTGTGTGTGTGTGTGTGTGTGTGTGTGTGTGTGTGTGTGTGTGTCACAGAGTTTAAGACACAGGCGTGGGTGTAAACTCAGAAACGAGCTGTCAACTTTAGCTAGCTCACAGGAACAGGTTTTGTCAAACCAGACATTGAATAAACACACTTGCACATACACACTTGTGCAATGCGTGACACATTCTCACTCCTTGGCAAGAAGTGCACTCCATCAAAGCTTTGCATTGGTGGAAAAACTCAGTAAGCCGTAGCTAGGCTACTAAAATCATTGGTTAGATCCATTTCTTGATCCTGTTAAGACCACAGAGAGGCGTGTTTCAGTACCTTCCCTTATCCTGTGTGTTTGTCAAAGCCTGGGAGGTTGCCTGGGGCAGCACAGATTGAAAACCTAATAGACTCTCCTCTTTTATTGACCCCACGGTCTCTCCCCTTTTTAGTTATCCACCCCTTGGGTTGTCATACATTCATTTTAACCCTCATCCCACTATACATCCATTTATATCTTGCTCTATTCATTTAGGTATTGATCTCTGCTCTGTGCATCCTCCTGCAGTCCCTCTCTGTCCCTCTCCTGCTTCTACTTGTTCAGCACTTCACTGGTTTGCTACTTGTGCTTGTCAAAGCTACTCAGCCACTTATTCTTAACACTGGTTTATTAATGTGTGTTGTTTGTGCTGCTCAGAAGAAGCTCGCCAGCTGCTATATCATTTGCAGTGTGCTCTCTCTGTCTTCTGTTGATTTCTGTCCTGATCTATGAGTCCTTAATGACTGAGAGATGGCTATCAGTTAAACAGACTAAGACGGAAGACAAACATCTGCTTAATAACATAATTGCGCTCTATAGTGTTCTCACAGGGCAATTAGTTTGCCATTTTTCTCCCCCAGTTGCTTGTGCCAGTCCGCAGGATGTGCATAGAGATCCTCGAGATGGGGCACTTCGTGCTGCTTGTACCGCTGTCTCTTGTGGTTTGAGTGCAGTTTCAGAATGAATCGTCATGATTTTCAGGGGTGATTAGTACATAAAATGCATGGTGAGGTTGATAGATGGGAGTGATTATGTTTATCTATTCATTTTTGTTTGTTACTGTTGCTGCTAGGGCTAAAATGATTAGTTGATTGAGTAATTAGTCGTTTAAGGGCAAATTAAAATGCAACAATTTCGATAATTGGGTGCTTATTTAGGTTACTTTAAAAATAGCAAGTCTTGGGCTTTAGGAAATTATGATGGGTTTTTTTTCTACTTTGTGACATTTAATAGGCCTAAAAAAATAATTAGTGAAGTGAAAATAATCATTAGTTGCAGTTGCTAACTTTTTCTGGCACTTAAATATTCTGCAAATTTGATTTTAACCTTGTTAAGGTTGACTGGGTCGTGTTTATACTGTCAAAAGTAAATCAGAAATTCAATATACACTTTGATTTACAGGTACGTCACATTAAATTTGCACCCGAGTGTCCACCTTCTGCTGCTGCTTTTGTGGCGCTGCCGTTGCTTCTTAGCTTGCAGCTGAGGTAGGAGGCAAATATACCACATAGGTAGGAGGCATGGCAAGCAGCTGCTGAGATTAGTCTTCAGGTATCTTTTTCCGGATACAGGTGATACAGATGCCGTGTCCCCAGATGCCAGCCTGGACAAAGTTGATCGCTTAAAAGTGACTCCGTAGGAGGAGAGCCCGTCCTCTTACAAGACTGACTCATCCACACTGTAATCACAGCCTTTTATTTTTGCTATTCAGAGAGCACATGCTGGCTTTTAGATATCGACGCTGTCCTCCTTGTAGTCTTCACCAGCATGAAAGAAATGGAACAACAGACCGCCACAAAGGACTAATTTCTCTAAATGGAGGCTATTCTGCTTTATAATCCTTCCCCATTTCATGAGTCACTGGCTCCCCTCCCCCCTGTCATTCCTGTCATTGGTACAGTCCGTAAATAGACACCTGGCTGCCATGGAGGGACCAAGCACCATAATAATACAAAATAATGCATTTGAATGTGTGAAAGATGGATTAGGGAGTAGGGAAGATGGGGAGAGGGAGAGGGAGAGGGAGAGAAAGAGAGAGAGAGAGAAATGATGCTGTGTGGGAGGATGAGCGGAGGAACAGAGGAGGACAGGAAGAGAAGGAAATTGACCATAAACATTTTTTTTTTTTTATTTCTTATAACACACATGCATCACACATTAGAAGGTTTTTGGTGATTGGCAGTCAGGTCTATAATGCTCTGAATCTGTACTCTGGTCTATTGCTCTGAATTCACCTCCAAAATAGGTCTGATATAGTTTCTTTCACAGCCAGAAAGGTGTTGGAAGTGGACGGATTTTTAAAAGGTGTTATTATGCCACCTTCAGCTCCAACCTGAGCACGTTTCTGCATGACTAGCGTGCACATAGAAGGACTTCTTCCTCCCTCTTTCTTTTTTCTCAGACTCAGTTACCAGACATACCAAACATGGACTTTGTTTCTGCCTTCAACAGCCAATTTAGCCTTGTGCCTGCAGTTTTAGAGCACATGCACAACAGAGTGCAGACACGACATAAACCTCAGTGAAAACAGACTGCTAGTGAAAAACAGATAATCAGAGATGAACAGTGACTGTGTCCTCCTCCTCCTCCTCCTCCTCTTCCGCAGAAAGCATGTCTTACGGTGACAGTCACTGTGCATAGTTGGTTAAGGTGACACAAGTACACTGCAATGACTGATTATTTTTTTTAAATTCATCGACCAGTTGTTTGTTCTTTTGAAATGTCATAGTGAAAAATAATCAGCACAATTCCCCAGAGCCTAAGGTATTCACTTTACAATGATATGAAACAAGAGAAAAGCAAAACGTTGTTGCATTTGAGAACTGGAACTAGTAAATATTTTGCATTTTTAGAGAAGTGGCTCTAGAGGTTGGTAGGTCCCTGACTTTGACCAAACAATACTGCTTTGTATCATCATCATTTCCACATTGTGGTGGATAGTTTGAAATCTGGATTTTTTTAAAAAAAAAGCCCCATCTTATTTTTGTCCTGATATGTTCTATTTCTGTTGCTCTGTCTCTCTGCGTTTCGCTCTTTTACTTTCTTCCTTCTCTGTATGCGACTGCAGGACAGCAGTGTCAGATAGGAACCAGCAGATGCTTTATTAAAACACACACACACATACACAGAATTAAGCTTACATAAAGAGCATAAGAACGCTGTCCAAGGAATAAGCACGGTAAGATAGTGTAGCATTGGAGGCTAAATAGAAAAGATGCGACATGTGTATAAGTTGAGTGCTTAGAAGAGGAAAGGGAGATGTAAGATGCAGAAAGTGCAAGTGTTATGGATTGCAAGGGAGATATATATATATATATATATATATATATATATATATAAAAATGGGAATGGAGGCAGAGATGGAGAGAGGCAATCATTAAACATCATAAATAAATTGTAGTTAAAGCTTTTTCTGTCCGTTTCTGCTGAAAGACATTGAAACCGTACAGCCTGTGCAACAAGCATCTAAATTCTGTCATGCCACTTTTTTTTCCCTCGTCAGTGCTTCATCGGTGAAGCCAGCCAGGCTTCTCTGTGTGGGTGATTTTTCGATTTGAGAGCCTGAGTTGAGGAAAGGTTAGGTACTTGCTGCAGAGGTGTGTGTCTGGAGAGAAATGAGGGGGAAACAGGAGAGCGAGAGGGAAACAGAGACTTATGCTTCTTCGGAGTATTGAATTGATGCCTGGAGGCTGGAACCTGTACAGTCACTTTTCATCTCTGCCATGGTATCATTTGCTGTTTGTAATAGAGTTTTTTTTTTTTATCAGGATACCAAGTAATAGAAGGCTGGCAAACATGGAAAGAGCTTTGGCAAGCTATGATTGCTTTTGTGTGTGTGTGTGTGTGTGTGTGTGTGTGTGTGTGTGCGCAATGCCCTATACATATGCCGCGTGTCAATAATTATTCAGTGTGTGTTTATACAGTTTTTCCTTCACTTGTAGGTAGAGGTGACTCCACTGCAAATGAAGGAACATGTTGGCTATGGACCAAGGAGTGGTGGAGGAATGGCTGTCAGAATTTAAGGTACTGCTTTACTGTGTGTATGCATGCATGCGTGGGCAAAACGCAATATTAAAAAGCACCTACCCCTGATTAGTGTGCTGTACATTCTGCGCTGCTGCTTATTTCTTCCACACACATAAACAAACACTCTCTGAAGTGCTTTGTTGCCAGAAAATTACATGCTCCTACTCAGACACGATGAGCACTCACCGATACGTGACTGCTAACAAAGCCAAGGCTCAGTGAGGTGTGACTATAAAGGGGCAGAAGGGAACTTCCTGTGTGAACGTATGAGGACCCATCTTCCTCGCTCAGTGCAATTAACCTCTAAACACAAACAGAGTGATGTGACTCGCAGCTTCTTATATAGACGCAGTCACTGTCTCTGCAGGCTTTAGTTGCTATCAAGATATCATTTAAATGTCAAAGAGTGTACTTCCCTGTTGCTTATACCTAACAAACCAGTTTTGTTTCATTATCTGTTAACATTATTTCTTAAGCCCTGTTTCCTCCAGACACTTTCAGTATGGTACATTTGGAACTGAAAGTAACCCTTCAGACATGGTACCCAGACTCTAGTGTTTCCACCGCAAACCGTGCTCTTTCATGTGGGCAGGGTTGTCACTCACTGCTGCGTCCAGCACTCACTGAATACGCAATACACAAACTAGAACAGGCTGCAGTGAGTCTCTCTCAATGAGATATTCAGATATAGTGGGTTTGTGCATTTAGTCCTTCTAAGGCAAGCGTAGGGGTTAAGTGTTGTGAGAGCACACAGGAATTACGCTCTGCGCTGCTTTTCTGTCTCAGAGTGAGGATAAACATATATGCTGTTCACATAACCAGGTCGAAATTAATGTGTATATAAACACTTGATGGTCTACTCATTAATGAAATTGTATGTTATATAAAAACTAAAGTAATGGTCAAAGCTGTAATTGAAATTTAAGGTGTGCTGATGGATTTACATTTACTTGTGTGCTAGGTACCTTAACAGAGGGGCTACAAAAAATGGGGACGTACCGAATGGTTATATTGGTACCATCCACAGCTTTTCAAAGTGGAAACATGTACACAACTGAACTGTACCATACTGCTCGGTGAAAACGGGGCTTTAGTCCTGGATGTGATGCGAATCAATGAACAGTTGAGTGTCAAATCTAGACAGCTCAAATTTAGACTACATCAACAAATGTTTGGGTATTCACTTCTCAACCTGCATGCTGTGTGTTTATTTTTAGCACTGGTAAGTCACTTAGTGTATCAAACTTCAGCTCTGTGTGTGTGTGTGTGTGTGTGTGTGTGTGTGTGTGTGCGCGCGTGCGTGTGTGTTTCAGACCCTCCCTGACAGCGCTGTGTCCACCTATGCCGCCTCACTAAAAGACAAAGTTGCCCTGGTTCCCGCGCTCTACAAGGTCATCCGAGAGAACTACAGCGATGTATGGACACACACTTTAATATTTCATTCATGTAAACATGTATTGTAAATACCCAACCACACAACCTTTTACCAACATTTTGTATCAGGGGTGGGTGATATATCGATTATACTTGATGTATTGCGGCTTGTTCCGTGTTTGAAATGACTGCATTGCGATCATCGGGTATACTGTCACGTCATAATTTAAAGACACCGGCATGAGATTCTTTTGCATTTTGGTTCTCTTGCTCTCTCCAAGGCTCTCTTCCTCTCACAGACACAAAACGAAAAGGCTCCCATCTCACACACACACACACACACACACACACACACACGCACACACACTTGCCTGCCCATTCACACCACTCTCTCCTGGGAAATAGAGTGAGCAGGTGTTTTGTTTTTTTTTTTTTTATCTGCAGGGCTCCAGGCCACCAACATTTAGTCACATTTTGTGACCACTGGGCACCAGTGAGACTTGCCGATATTATTAATGTGTGAACTGGAGAGCTGTTGTTTGATTCCTCCTCACAGAGAGTAAATCCTCATGTTTAATGGCACCACGGTAACATGTTAACTTTCTGCTAACTTCTAACTGTTGACCTGAAGCTTCAAGTGCACAGCAAAAAACATCAGACTTCCAAAATATCACGATATTATGTATAGGCTATATCACCCAGCCCTTCTTTGAGTATTTTGTCATGTTTACTGTGCCATCATTCACCTGTATTATTATATTTATACTTACCCCAGATTATCTCATGTTGTTATGTCCTGTTGTTTTTTTGGTTCATGGATCTGCCTGACTGTCCGACACACTGTATTTCCCAAGTATTGCTCTGCTCCCTGACATTACTGATGACCCATAAATGAATGAATCACAGTTACAGTGGCAGTTGCTGCCTGTTGATTTTTGTACACAGGATGTCAGGATGTAACCATGTGCCCATGTTTTTTGGCTCTCTGTTCTCCCCAGTTGCTGGAGCCAGTGTGTCACCAGTTGTTTGAGTTTTACCGAAGCGGTGAGCCGCAGCTGCAGCGTTTCACGCTACAGTTCCTGCCAGAGCTCCTGTGGAGCCTCCTGTCCGCCAGCGCAGCCAGAGACCCTCACACGTCTGGCTGCATCGAGGCCCTGCTGCTGGGCATTTACAACCTGGTAGGGGACAGGATGAAGCTGGTGGTGCACATTATATTTTCAACACCACATTCTTATGCCTCAGCTGCTCTGTTTATTTATTAGCAGTAGAGCAGAGCTGCTCTTGTTAGTAACAAAAAAATGTTTCCAGTGTGGTAGGCAAGGTAAGGAAAGGAAGAGGAAAAGGTCCTTGATCCCTTGCAAGTGGGTGTAATCATGCAGTTTCAGAAGCAAGGGACTTAGCCGCTCAACTATTTCTGGGATCTGTGTCATGTGTTTTGAAAGATTACTCCATGCACTTTCTGCCTTCTTAGACAGCTATGTATCGCGAGTAACAGGAAGTATGGGTTTTGAAATAAAGGAATTGAAACACAGTGAATTTGCTAATACACAATATGGATGGGTTGCACTTTGTAAATGCCCTTAAGCTTCCCACAGTGATGCCAGCCGGTTGTTATTATTAAAGTGTGTTGAGTCCTATTTTCCTCCATTTTGGCTCGGTTTTCTATCTATCAGCAAAGTGCAGTGTCCCCTAACTTCCTCTATGAATAGCAGAATAGGTCAGCTGTCACTCAAAACACTAGCTGGCTCCCATTAATCTATCTGACATTAACATGCACACAGGGGACACCAAAACCCTGGGGTTTGAGTGTGTGTGTTCACACGATATATACACAAAAACGCAAACACACATACACTAGCAGACAGAAACAGAAACAGAGACCCTGAGGGCCACACACGAACACCCACACATAACAGATGAGTGTGCTTAAAGTGATATGCATGCATGAGGTTTAGGGCACACGCAGATAAAAGCTTCTGTTTTTCTCGCCTACAATAACATTTTCTCACTGTCTTCTTCTTTTACAGGAAATAGTTGATAAAGATGGACAAAGTAAAGTATTATCTTTCACCGTCCCTTCCCTCTCCAAGCCCTCAGTGTACCATGAGGTGAGAAACACAAACAATTGCACACAGATCTTCTGCTTTTGCAGAAATGTGCAGTTTAAAAACTTCCTCTTCTTCTCCAGCCTTCAGCCATCGGCTCAATTGCCCTTACAGAAGGGGCTCTAGCCAATCACGGGCTGAGCAGAGTGGTGTACAGCGGGCCACACCTCCAGAGGGAGACTTTTACAGCGCAGAACAGGTAAGAGGCTTGATGGGCGGACTTCTTTGAAAGGCTGCTGGACGGGTGGTGACGTGTCAGTAGGGTGGAGATTGTTCATGTTTTTAAAATAGGCTTTCCTGGTAGCAGGCTGCGAGTCTGCCTGCTTTGAATTGGCAGCAAATACCAGACAACAACCAAAATAGGAACACACATGAAGGAGGATGCACAATCTGTCAGTTGCTTTTGAAGTTAAGCGTGCAAAGTCTTGGCAAGACATTTATTGCCTCTACTATGACAGTTTAAGGCCGCCTAAATTTTATTCACTAACAGAGTTGTCTCAGAAAGTGAAATCCAGTACAAATAACTCGTACGCTCAGTGAAATTTGAGAGGAATGTGTTGAATGTTGTGTATGTTGATCACCTTTGTACCTAAATACATTTCCAAACTGATCAAAGATTCCATTATACATTCAGTTCAGATGTTGTTTTGGATACAGTCAGTGGGGTGATAAGTTGAGACACAAATCCATCAAGCATTTTTGACTCTCAGCTGAGCTTTGAAATAAGATTTAGTCCGACAGTCTCATTAAATACAGTAGTGTCATTGACTCCTGTCCTCAAACATATGTAGTGACAAAGAGTTTAACTGCTGCCAGGGCCAATTATTTTATGCACCAGCTTCAGTGATGGCCCGTGGCAGTTGTCTTTGCTTTGTTGCATTCATTAATGTAACGAGGCCCCAATGCGGCCAAACACTGAAGGTCGCGATGGTCTGAGTTGTACCTCTTTTTTCAGCACTGTTTTCTTGTGCTGTTTCAGATGACCAGGTAGATTATTTAAAACGGAGAGGAATTTTCATGTGACAACAAGTCCGGCTGCTTTTTAAGATCGTGCAGAGATACTTGTATCTTAATCTCTTCAGTGTAGCAGTCAGTGTTTGCCTGGGTAGATGATGTATTTTTCACTGACTGTAGTTTTTAAATGGGAAGTCCCCTGATTTTTCACATCAGAGTGTATATACAGGTCTTGAGGAGTACTACTTCATACGTGGTGAAAAACCCTTTTGTGAGGGAGCTGTGCCAAATCTGATATATTGCCTCAAAGTGAGTCATTTGAGTCTGCGTCAGTTTAAAATCTGAAGATGTTGAGTTAGGAAGAAAGGATCCTATCAGACTGCTAGCATAGCACACCCTCCCCTGTAGCTGAGTTGTGCTGTGGGGAATGTAGATGCCAGGCTTTGACAAGGAAGAAGAATGCACAGAATAAAAGGGACGATATCTCTGGTACAGTTCTGCTTTTGAAATCTTCTAATCTTTCTTATTTTTGTGGTATTTCTATCTACAGCATAGATAGAGGGCTAACTGTGTCTGTGAATTTCTGCTCGGATATGTCGTCAATTTTGTTTTCTATGTCATGCTGTAATCTAGATGTGCTGTTTCAAGGGTGTATTTGTGTTGTTGAGATTTGAGGTGCTGACCTTCCTGCTGCTGTGCTACAATGCTGCTCTCAGCTACATGAGCCCCAACTCCCTCCAGTCCCTCTGCCAGCTCAGCTCCAGGTAAAACACACACACACACACACACACACACACACACATACACACTTTGTCATGAGGACTTGTGGACACTATAAGTACACACAAACCAATTTTATACTCTGTGATGACCTTCTTGATTGTGGATGTTTTTGAGAAGGGTACTTGAATAACCCTACATACATACACACACACACACACACACACACACACACACACACACACAGGCGCTTTTTTTTTGCAAGCACTTGCTTATCTGATCCTCTTATAGACTTTGCTGCCAGAGAGAGCCAAGATACCGCTATTCAGCAAAGAGCTTCGATGTACACACATCCCAGATCAGTGGTTTTTGGTATTCGGCCAACTGTAGCTGAGCATTGCTCCAATGAGCACAGAGCTACAGAGAAGTCGTCAGCTTTGATTTCCCCTGGACAGTTTTGTGTGTTGTCAGCTGTGTACTGTACAGTGGCATCATATACAGTAGCAGCACCTATAGCTTAAAAAGACAGGTGAATCCTCTTTGTTGCAACTTGCATGACACCTGTTGGAAAATAATTAACTATCTACAGTTTATGTTCAGAAAATATTCAGCACTAATGTGTGTGTGTGTCTGTGTTGGATTCAGCAGTTCTTTGCTTATTGTTGTTTTTGTAATCAGCTCACCACAGGGAAGTAAATTGCCTTAATGGAGCTGCAGCCAAGTGGCTCAGCAGAGTGGTTTCCCTGATTAAAGCTTCCCTGTTTCACTGATACAAGCTTCCCTGTTGCATTTCTCTTTTATTATCCTCCAGGGTCTGTATATGTGGTTACCCGCGGCAACAGATGCGCCGCTACAAAGGCATTAGCACACGGCTGACAGTCACGTCAGAGTTCCTGGTTCAGCTCATGACGGGGATACACTACGCTTTGTGAGTGTACACACATGCCTGCACAAACAGCCAGATCAGCGCAGCACAGACTCCCTGATCAGCTTTATCTTCTCGTGTCTTACATTTCTCCAAGTGTTTTCTTTAAAATCTGCTCCATGTGTCTTATCTCTGACAGCATTTGATTTGGTCTAATCATGCATGTATGTAAATACCTGTTGCAAAGAGGTTTAACTATGACAATCGTTCAGTCTGCTCACTTTGCATTTTGAGTATGAACCAGTTTACATTGCTGTGGTGCATTTCACAAAAGACGTCACGTCTTTATCACAATGTTACATAAGCAGTTGGCATCAAAAAATACTAACTGGTGTCTGCTGTCTAAACCAATATCTACAGTTCTACTTATGTGAATTTGTATGGTATTACTGTCCTCACTCTTAATCTGATAATCAGGCTGTTAAAGGCGCCCTGTGGAGTTTTCTTCTTCTGACTAGTTTTTGTCTTTAGTGGGAAAGTTTACAATTGGCATTTATTCCAAGGACAAATGACTGCAGTAAACACAGGTATTTATCGGTTCCAGATCTGAAACGTGACACCCAGGTGAACACGCTACTTTTAGCCCCTTTTCCAGTGTGATTCAATGATACACAGCCACAAATTCTGTCTGTCTCTGTCCAAGCAGTGCTTAAAACGTCTTTCCAAATGAGACAGCACCAAGTTTGGTATAAAAAGGGCATTGCAGTCTTCTTATTTTCTCTGTCCTTGCTGGTGCATTGCTTCATATCTTAGGGTGTTACCATTACCTGGTGATAAGTGGAATAGCGTGACATTAATAAAAGGACTATGTACCATGTCACCTGCGTATATTTGCATCCAAGATAAACAAAACGGGGACCCACAAATAGAAAAACGGCTCTGCAGCACCACTAGAGGTCTGACACTCCACAGGGAGCCTTTAGTCTTGGAGTCACACACTGTGTGTATTTATATGTTTATGTGGTTTTTGCCTGTGCGTAGGTGTAACGGGGAGGTCGAACTGGGATCCAAAGCACTGGATGACGTTTTATATCGGGCCCAGCTCGAGTTGTTCCCTGAAGCTCTGTTGGTGGGTTCAATCAAGTTTTTCATCTTTTACTATCACGCTGTCCTTCTATATATGTGTTTTTGAAGCTGTAGTGTGTGTGTGTGTCTCTGAGAGCATGTGATTTTGGACGCACATGCTCGCCTGTGGTTTTGATTCATGCACAGCAGCACAGTATGCTGTATTGTGTTGGTCTCTGTGTGTCAGAGACTGCAAGCAGAATGTAATCCCACTAGATTATTTACATGCTTTCCACTCTGCTCTGTTAAGCCATAATCCTTGAGGCCCAGGGAGTAGAGGATTGAACCTAAGCTCACAGTATTACTACACAAGTCAAGGTGTGCTCCTCCACAACACGCAAAACACACAACCTTTGGATTCTTATTATGAGACTGGTGTGTGGTTAAAGTATGTTTTGAGAATAAAGAAACAGCTTTGTGGACATGCGACATGAACACTATTGTAGGAGGGTTAGAATCTCAGTGTGTTTATGTAAGTGTTTACTTGTTGCAGTGGGACACACCAGGTGGCAGCATGCTGACGTGCCCCTCGTGAGACTAACGTGTTGCAGCCTCACAGACAAAAGACACGTTGTGTTGTGATTATGATGCCCTCCACCTCATGTTACTTACTCGGCTGTTATATGATCATTAGTGCCACCTGAAACGTTTTCAGCGGAAGCTTAGGTTATTGTAGGAACACTTGTGAAATAGTGTTATATAGAGCAAAATACAAAGCCTTTTTGTTTTTCTTATATCACTCGTCTGTGTAACCCAGTCAGTTTGTGGTAAGCTTTCAGGTTTATCCTTTTGCATAAATCTGGTAGAAATAAGATTATTGGTCAGATGTTATTAGTTTGGTAACATGATCTGAGCTTCAGTTTTACTTAAGAGCAAAAATGTGTCAGTGATATTAGAAATACCGCGTTTACAGGCATTGTGTTCTGGGCCACTGCCTTTACATTTGGATCTTTTTTGTATTATCTGCCTGTGTATGTCTTTCGTTGGGTGGTGGGACAGAGAAGTTTTTCCATAGTCGTACATTTAGGTTGTAAAAAGCTGTTTTCACTGACACGTGTGCTCAACAGGTAAATATTTTTAAAAAATTGTTTTTTTGTAAAACCTTTAATATTGCAGTTAACCATAAATCACTGATACTCAACTTCCTACTTGATAGGGTGCCTAATGGCCCCACAGCCATTTCCTAATTCACAGTGAAAATAAATTAGAGCATATATAGGAAATAAAATGAATTAAATAAAAACGCATCAGAATAGAGCTTGTTTATCAAAAATAGTTACACAGGAAGGATGCCTCAGTCCCTGACAGAAGTCTGGGCTAAGCCTCAAATGTCCCCAAATCCTAGAAATGCCCCTCCGTACACTTGACCTGTGCAGCGTTGCTGTAACTGGCCCCTGGCCTCCTGTCATTTTGCAAAAGTGGCCCAGAGGCAGAACAAGTTTAGTATCCCTGCCATTCATCCATCCATTTTCGTAACCGCTTATCCTCTTCAGGGTCGCGGGGGGGCTGGAGCCTATCCCAGCTGACACTGGGCGAGAGGCGGGGTACACCCTGGACAGGTCGCCAGACTATCACAGGGCTGACACATAGAGACAGACAACCATTCACACTCACATTCACACCTACGGGCAATTTAGAGTCACCAGTTAACCTGCATGTCTTTGGACTGTGGGAGGAAGCTGGAGTACCTGTAGAGAACCCACGCTGACACGGGGAGAACATGCAATCTCCACACAGAGGGGCTCCCCCACCCTAGGTTCAAACCAGGAACCCTCTTGCTATGAGGCGATCACTACACCACCATGCCGCCAGTATCCCTGCCATAGATATTTAAAATTTACATATAATATTTTGTCTTTTTGCAGTAATTCATGCATCCTTTTTAAAATCTTACCAATGACATCTTTTAAAAAATCTGTAATCACTAGTAAATCATTTATTATTGCAACATAAGAAAAAATAACAACTGCATCTTAGTATGGACATGGTGAAGATATATAGTGATTTCAGGTGTAAATTTTATTGTATTGCATTCATACACAATCAGGCCTTGACTCATCAGTGCCACCTATGAAGGGGAATCTAAACACATGCTTTAAATTTGTTTGCAGGGATTGTCTGTAACTGTAGCAACATCAATTCATTGTTCTTTCTACTTGAGGTTTCCTCCACATTGATAGAAAACCCCTTTCGATTTTTGTATTGTAAATTTGATATACCAGTTATTGTATTGGCTTCACAAAACTCAGAGTCAGCAGTAATTGTTGTGGTGTCAGATGTAGCACAACAGACAACAAGTGGACCCAGTACAATGAAGGAGAAAAAAAAGGATAACAACCAAGTAACATTAAATAAAACATGTTGGGCCAGTTGCCAACCTGCCAGTGAGCCAGTCCAGTCCAATTCCTCACTGGCCAGGGGCCACTTGGCAATCCCTCTGTGCGAGCATCCTCTGGAATCCTCTGAAGCAGTAATGTTTGTGTATATGTGCCTCCCCTCGCCCTCAGGTGGGCAATGCCATCAAGTCGTCACTGCACGGCGCCGCACTGAAAAGCAACAACAAGGAGGGTGCACGGAGTATCCAGGTGGAGATCACGCCCACCACCTCCAGGATCTCCCGAAATGCTGTCACCTCCCTCTCTATCAGGGGACACCGCTGGAAGAGACACGGTAAGATTCACACATGGGGGGGAAAAAAGCAAGTGGAGATGTAGGGACACAGCCGCGGGAGTTCAAGTCACTGAAACACAAGAAGAGCGCTCACGCACATCTTTCTGTCATTTTGTAATCACATTTTTACCAGGTAATAAAAAAATAGAATTGTTTGATTGAAGAACGGATCACACCAAAGGAGAGAGTGAGAGGTTTAGATCTCTTCATCGTTCACTCACCCCTCCATTTCATGTCCTACAGTCACTGTGTACATACGTGTCGTTGTCATCATCAATTCCTAAGCTCGTAGAGCACCTTTTCTCAGCGTGCTATCTGGTGCTGCTGTCAACATCCTTTTCAGAATCTCCTTATTAAAAACCATGTGTTCAGGGTGTTAAGGTGTCCCATGAACAGATAGGAGAAAGCAAGAAACCAGGGGGCAGGTAGTGTATTTATAATATAAGACAAGTTGCAGTGTGAACACTTCGTATTAAATATGTTGTGTTTTATGTAGTTTCAGCTCTGTGCCAAAGGAAATTGATAGTGCTTAGATGGCCACAGAACAAATTAAACTTTTTGGTTTAGAATTAAGAGAGGGATGCTCTCTTTTCCCAGAGTACAGATAAGGCAGGTAAATTACAGCCTTCAGCTAGTTTAATGAGTAGTTTTCATCTGGAGCCTAACACCCCTTTATCATGTCATGGATCCTGCTCATTGGTGCCCTTATCGGAGTTACTTGTTTATAGAGAAAGCTTTTGTTATGAGCAGATGATGGAGGAAAATACTATTAAATATTAATTAATGTGTAGGGGTGAGTGGTGACTTAGTATGATGTGATTCCATTCAAATACTGAGCTCACATTCATCTCCATATTGCATGCACTTTGGCCATGTGTTATGTTCTGATCACTATAATTTTTGTCTTTTTATTTTTCTGCCATTACATTAATTACCTCTGTGTGTCTTGTGTCACTGTGGTCGTGTGTGCCTGTGCACATGGCCGTCTATCTGTTTTTCATGTACGTGTGCATGATACGTGTCTTTTTGTCCATCTGTGTGTGTATGTGTGTTTATGTCTATGTATTATCCTGCTACCCCCTCATGCTCCCCCACCACCAGAGTCCCAGGAGGTGAGTGTAGACAGTGATGCGGCACTGGGGGGCATGGCCATCCCCGAAATCAGTGTGACAGGTGTGAGCGGCGAGCGAATGCCCAACGGAGACTCCATGCGGCTGCGCCCTGACGGCCGCGTCCAGCCAGACGGCGACCCGCTGGGCGCCGCCTCCGAGGTCAGCCTGGATGCCCGAGGTCATGACTCCGGCACGCGGGGTCAGGAGGTCAGGAGGCAGAAGTCTGTGAGGCGAATGGTGGAGAATGAGGGTTCTGGGTCGGCCTCCACAGGGAGGAGCCAGTACTAAGGCCCTACCCTCCTTCCCCCTGCCCCAATCCTGGGGTAACCTAGGTAACCGTGTGTGGGGGCGTGGTCTGAACAGCTGCATGATGACTTCCCCCTTTTACCTTTTGCACTGGGCTCCACCTTCCTCTCTCCACCTAATTGCACTATTCCTCTCATCTGTCAATCCAACATCACTCATTTACTCTCTCCTTTGTGGCTAAAGCTTCCTCACGAAGATCTCCCGCAGAGATTCCTCATATCAAATTAATTATTTAAGATCTAATGAATAACAGATTGATAACCTAATAATAAATGCATGATAATGAAATATGCTTGGCTGAATCATAAAATCAAGATGATGTGATGTTTTTATGTTGCGCAAAAATAGAGTTGAACCTAATAAAGGCAGAACATAATTTAAACAAGGAACAAAAAACAGCTATAAAAGTAGCTCAATGAACATTTCTCAGTAGATATGAAACACATACTGTAGATACAGGACTGCAAACTCTGGCTAGCTGTATCTCATTTAGTAAAAGTCACTCTGAGGTCAGGTCACTGATAACAGTAAGGCCTGATACCCTCTAACCATAACGCCCAGATGTGATCTCTGCTAGCTGTGCCTGTATTATAAGATTGTGCTCTTCAAGTGTTGTGTAGGGGTCTGACTCCTGTTTTTGCCGGAGAGATGATTAAGTTCTTGGGCCTCTTACAGCACCCGTTGGTACGCCTCGACACATTACTCCTGGGTTGCACCTGGAGACAGATTACTCCCTTCTGATGAATAGTTAGGAGCTGAGGAAAGATATGCAGGTCTTGACTGATGTGAAGCAAAAGCTGCTCACAGCGTTAAATCCAGACTTGAATCTGACAACTTTAGACTTGTTCTGACAGGCTAAATCTGACCATAAGAGATTTGAACCGGACCTGCCTATCTGTCTAATTACCAGCTGTTTACAGGTGTTCTGTTACAGTGATAGCATCAGATTAAAAGTGTGTTGTTCTGCATATGCAGGTGGCTTGCCACACACAGGGGTGTGGATGCATGCCTTGAAGAAAGCAGGACAGATGTTAATGTGTGTGTTCGTCTTCAGTTAGCGAAGACACGTGAATTTAGGGTTTTGTGTCGTTGTTTGCCTTCCTCTACTCTCCCTTTGTGGTCTTTCCTAGGCTTATGCTCTTAGATTCTGTCCTCTCCTGCCTTTGGGACAAAACATGCACTCCTCTGACAATAAACCACTCACTGTTGTCTCACAGCTCTGCTTGTTAAACTAACCTGTGTGCTGGGCTGGAATACTGAACCTGCATTGTGGCATGTCAGGTGGCGAGATATGCCTGTTAGCTGAGATTGCAGTGTGAAGGCGCCACCTGCTGGACAGTGATAGAGCCCCTCTGACATGCAGCCTTACATTTAAAACGTTGAATATTGTCTTTACACCATGTTAATATTAATCATTTGATTGGATCAGAAGGGCTGCATGACAGATGAGGTGGTTATTTTTTCTTTTCATGCTCCCGTTTTTTCATTTCAGTGCTTGTTTTGTCCCCCTCTGTCCATTTTGCAGACGCAGTGGATTTGGGTTCCCCGGATGAGCTGATGGATATTTCGGAGGTGGATGAAGGGGTGTGGCCAGGTGGGGTCGGGGCTGACATGACTCCACCCACCATCACTATTAGCAACAGCGTCACCACGTTGAACCTGGGGGCCAAGGCCATGAAGAAGTGTCGGCTTGGGGGGCGATCCAGCAAGGATAAGGACAAGGAGGCAGGCCCCTTAATAACAGGCCGAGCTGCCAGCGAGAACGCAGAGCTGTCTGTCAAGCGACTGACGCTCACTTCCAGCCAATCGGTGCCTAAGGCGGGAGCTCTCACCAGCCTGACGCGCACCGCCAGTGCCGTCTTCTCTCGCTCCTTTGAGCAAGTGGCCAGTGGCAATGCCCCTCCCTCCAGCAACCACACAGTCTCTGAAGTTGGCCGCTATTCTTGCAGCCTGCAGGAGGACGGGATGGGGTACTTGAGTCCGGCGCCAAACCACACACAGCGTTCTCCCAGCATCAGCGTGCACCTTGGCTCTGACCTTTGAACCATTTGTGACTCCTTATTACCTGAACTGTCGCCTCTGATCTTGTGACCCTGTACCTGTGACCTGGAACTCCAAGCCATGCCAACGAACAAACACTCCCGCTGGTTCTCTCGTCGCTCCATTTTAACGTCTTTGATTGTCTGTGCTGTGATGCAGCCTGCTGTCCTGCTCCATGAAGACACCCAGAGTTCCATCAGCTCCCTCTGCTGCTTTCCCCCCAGCGGTCTCCTCTGGGCCTGATGGAGCCGGGATGTCAGGGATGTTACTTCCAGCTTCACTGATTTTTAGTAGTGTACTGTTGCCGTGAAGTCGTACTGGGACAAAACAGCACTCTGACGCAGAGCAGCCTGTCTGTAAATGGGTGCACTTAAAACTTACTACTAAAAAACTGTGTGGAGAAATATTTGGAAAGTATTTTAATCGGCATCTGTTGCCCTGCATGGCTTTTCCATACATCCATCCTGACCTTGCCCAGGTTCTCAAAGGGCAGATGTTGAGTATGTGTGAGCATGCTTGAGTGTGTGTACTGTGTGTGTTTGTATGTACAACTGTTTTTAGAGTAAAGGCTGCTGATTGATACATTGAACAAGGTATGATTCTTAAAGTGAAAACAATTGTTTCTACTACTTTTTTAAAAGAAAAATATAGATCCCTTACCATAGCAATACAAGTCTCTCGTAGTGAGTGTTTTCCATCTTTTGGGACGATTACACAAACTCCCTGTGGTCACACTTCTTTTGTCAGCAGTTACAGCTGTGCTCCTTTAAAGAAAATATGCATTCTTCCCTAAATAATTAAAAAAATGACCACTAAATAATCAGCCAGTACGATGAAATTATGTTCTTTATGTTTACAATCGCACAGTATTGTCCTCATGATGGAGAAGCAATATTTGTGTCCTTCCCTCTCGCTCCTCTAGCACCTTCCTGAATTGCTGTTTTTATTTGATAGCAAGAATAAAATTTCAACTTCTGACAAATGACAAAGATGATTTTGGGAACGATGGACGTGTATGATTTGTCAAGTATTGAATTTTGCACTTGAAAGAGCAAACAAGTTGTGTTTTCAACTTTGGTATTTTCTTATGATGAACAAGAGAGGTTTGACTCTCAACTGTGGTATTTTCCTGTGGGAGAGATGTGCTTTATCGCTTTGTACGGATTTCTACAAAACAGGTGTGAAGTCCACCTCCTTGCACAGAGGTACCGCTGAGTAAAGATGTTAAAACTCCAAAATGGCAACTACATCTATTCCTGTGTGTTCTGCAGTGAGAGGGTGTGTGTGGGCAACAAGGCATCTTTCCTCTGTTCTGATCCACCCACAGCTCCAGCTGTTTGTAGTACTTTGGTGATATGTTTCCTGTGTCCCTCCTTGTTCACATCATTATGTCACAAGACGTGGTGATATTCTCTTGTACCAAAAAAGGAATTCAACTCTGCCAATCTGCTACATTTGATGTCTGAAATCAAGCTGCCCTACCCACAAGCAAACTTGTGTTCTGTCGTCTGTGTACTAGACCTGTCGAGTGTCCATAGCTTGGTGGGACAATAACAATCAATGTGTTTCTGTACGTGGGTTTACAGAATGTCACTGGGTAAGCTCTTGTTATACATCATACTGTTGTACTAAATTTGGTTATTTTGGCCTTTCTATGTCTGAAAATAACTCACTGCTACAACTTCTGGGAATAAAGTGTTTCTATATTTAAGATGTGTGCTCAGTTAATATTTGTCTGTCTCTCTGAGGGCGTCTATTGGCAGGTATAGATTTATAAATATGTTTAGTTTACAATCACCTGAAAGTAATTGCTGTTACCTTAGAACATCCTCTTTATACTACATATGGAGCAGGTCTTCTTCCATTGAGTCCACCATTTTGTTCTTCAGTAGCCCAGAAAGGACAAACCAAACACTGGCTCCTCAAGGTCATTTGTGTTTTCATCTTTGCCACTGTAGTTCCCCAACATGCAAGCTAACTGCTAGATGCCACTAAGTCCTATACACTAGACCCTTAACCGTTTTGTGTGAAGGCTGTCTAAGGATACTAATTATTTATGCAACTAGACAGCTGTTCAACACCACAGCCAGAGAAAGGTGTTGCATAATAGTATAATTAAAATAGTGTTAGGGGCTTAATGCGTTACATGTCAAAATAAGGGTTTAATTTTGGGCAAAGGTTCCGCTGTAATTAAAGCTCTTGAAAAAGGCCCAATCACCAAGCGTATTATATTCATGTATTGGTATGTACAGTGCTTTGCAAAAACATCCACCCCTCATCCTATTTTTTTCCTGTTTTGTTGCATTACAACCTGTAATTTAACTGGATTTTACTCTGATTTTTTAAAGGACCTTACACAAAGTAGTGAAAATTGGTGAAGTGAAATGAAAAACTTGTTTTAAAAAAGAGAAAATAATGAACTGAAAAATGGTGGGTGGGTGCGTACTGTATGTATTCACCCCCATTGCCATGACACCCCCTTTAATAAGACCAGGTGCTACCAGTTACCTTGAGAAGTCATGTAATTAGACTCTTATGTGCAATCTGTGTCACATGGTCTTAGTATATACGCACCTGTTCTGAGAGGCCCCGGAGTCTGCAGCACCACTTAGCAAGTGGCACCATAAAGATGAAAAAGCTCTCCAAGCAGGTCATGGACAATGTTATGGAGAAGTACAGATCAGGTTTGGGTTCTAAAAAAACATCTGAAATCTTGAACATCCCAATTAAATCCATCATTACAAAAAAGGAAAAGATATGGGACCACAACAGACCTGTTATGAGAGGGCAGCCCACCAAAACTCAAGGACCAGGCAAGACATTGACCAGAGAGACAACAAAGAGACCAAATACAACCCTGAAGGAGCTGGAAACCTCCACAGTGAAGACCGCAGTCTCTGTCTATAGGACAACTTTGAGCTGTACACTCCACAGAGCTGGGCTTTATGGCTGAGCGGCCAGAAAGAAAGCCATTGCTTAAAGAAAACATGTTTGGAGTTTGCCAAAAGATATGTGAGACTCCCCAGACGTCTGGAAGAAGGTACTGTGGTCATATGAGACTAATATTGAACTTTCTGGCCATTCGTCCAACTTTATCCTTTTAGAACGTTGTCCCTGACCTGTTTGGAGAGCTCCATGGTCCTCATGGTGCTGCAGACTGAGGCCTTTCAGAACAGGTGTTTAAAGTCATGTGACACTTAGATTTTCAACTAATGACCTAACTTCTCAAGGTAACTGGTAGCACCAGGTCTTATTTAGGGGCTTCATAGCAAAGGGGGTGAATACACACACACACACACACACACACACACACACACACACACACACACACCACTTTTTAGTTTTTTTTGTTTGTTTGTTTTATTTTATTTTTTGTGGGTCCATTACAAAAACATTCCAAATAAAAAATACATTTAAATTACAGGTTTTTATGCAACAAAATAGAAAAAAATACCCCACCAAGCGGGGTGACTACTTTTGCAAGGCATCGTATACTTGAGGTTTCCTTTGGATGATTTCCTTTTTTTTATCGAGTTTTATGTGCTTTTCTGCTTTCTTAAAATTATGTATATATATATTAAGTGGCCCAATAGTAATGACAACATTTGTAAATACATTTTTTAGCCTATTTCCCATTATTATTGTAATAATTTAAAATAGATAAGTGAGAATCTCTGTAAAAAAAAAATATTAAAAATTGTGCAAATTTAATCGGTATTACCTGGATAAATATTTAAAATTCCAAAATTAGTGTCTTTAGTTTTGGTTTCTGAACATTATCTTTAATTTAGTGGCATTTATTAAAGTCAGTATTTGACCTGCAGCAGACTCGGCAGTTAGACGACTGTCCACAAGATGGCGACCTATGACAGATAGATGATGTCGGTTAATAGCGAGTCCTCTACGTCACTTCCTCTTCCTCGTCCTTGGTGGAATCGGCATCCTCGCTGTTCGGGATACACACATGGCTAAACTGAGCAAAGAGACCAAACAGCGGCTGCAGCAGCTGTTCCAGTGCGGCCAGTTTGTCATCCGATGGGGTTTTATCCCGACCGTGCTGTACCTCGGTCAGTATCTCAACAGGAGCGGAGGGGGATACGGTGGGAATAACGTTAGTTAGTTAGCTTAGCATACTAGCTAATGGTGTGCTGATACTGCTAGTAGTATCGTTAGCCTACACTTGTAATTGTCCCCTCCCCACTCAGGAGAAGTAATATAATGTATGGTATTTAATGAACGATGGTGTATAATGTGCGTAGACGTGACAGTCATGTGATAAACTGGATGAACTGCTGAATTAATGCAGTAATTGCTAACAGCTGAAGATGAAACTGCATATAATCTCTCCATGACACCAAGCTGTGACACCCTGATATTAACTTTCAGACTAGTAGCATGGGAAAGAAGGAGAGATGTTTTTGGCTGATCTCTCAGATGGATTGGGGACTTGGTCTAATCTCCCTTTTGTGTGGATAGAAAAATATTAAAGTGTTAATCTTGTACTTGTGCATTAAGTCCAGGGCAGTTGGACTTGTAACAAGAACAGTTTTAAACCAAGACATCCATGTGCACATGTATTTTAGCCTCAGATGTCTGGGGCACTGAAATACTAGTTTTGGAAGAAAAAATTGGGAAGTTAAGATTTTTGCATGTGTGACGTCACAGCCGGTGGAGTTGCCCTCTGTGAGTGAATCTTCTCTGACTTCAGCATATTGGAAACACCAACGCTGATGTCATACTTTCTCCCCCCTTTCTCTATTTCTTACTCTTGTGTTACATGTTGAATAACGCTATACATTTCAGGCAACCATGATCCGACTGCGTAAAAACACCCGGGTCAATTGAATAGTTAGTTGTGAATGAAAAATGAACTAAAACCCTTTGGCATGAGTACGAAACGAGACATTAAATGACATAATTCTGGGGTTTTGGAGAGACAGACCGACATTTTTCAACATTTTTCAATAAAATGAATAGTCGACTAATTGAAGAAATAATCGACAGATTAGTCGACGACTCGACAATAAAAATAAGCGTTAGTTGCAGCCCTAATGAATGTTAAAAGTCAACTAATGCCAAGCTTTTTTGGGCTTCAGCCTTTCTGAAGTGAGGATTTTAAGATTTTTACTTTATATGAACCTCTTTGAGATATTTGACTCGCCTGATAGCAGATAAAAGTATCAACTTGTTTCATCCTAAAACATTTTTAACAGTTGGTCGGACATATTTCTTATATTTTACTGACTAAACAAGTACTTGATAAATAAGAAAAACCCAAAGAATGAAAAGCAGCTGTAGCCCTATATTTAGGGATTAACAAGTCCAAGCTATCTTTAGTCTTCTAGGAACCTCTCTTGCCTTTTTCTCAAGAATCGGTTGCATCACAGTTGATTTCGTCTATGACTTGTGCAAGGAGCTAGAAAAACTATCAGGGAAATGATGTTTTCCTTTCTACGTGTGTGTGAGGAGGAGGCAGTGAGTCACGTGTACCTTACTACATTGCAGTGATGTTATTTCAAGGGCCCTCCAACCTTTCCACAGAAATGAGATCTGTAAGACCTCATGGATGTCAGAGCTCTCTCATGCAATGATGCACTTTAATCAAACCAGGGTGCTTTGCAGGGGTCAACCACTGACAAAGTGTAATGACTCAGTGCTTGCAACACTTGCTAGGTCATCCAGTGGTGAAAGGATGCATCTAACTGCCAGCTGAGATACAACTTTCAAGTGTGGGCACAACTGCAGTTGTTAAAATGTATTTTATTCTAAGCAGTGGGCTGTAGTATATAGTAAATATGCAAGTTGATTTTCTATACTAGATGCTTGCAGCTAGCTGTTCCAAGTTCTTTTGGATGAAGACAACAGCAGATGAAGCGCTCATGTGGGTTGCAGTATCATGATATCCAGGAAGGTGCTCTTTGGTCAGGAAGTGTAGTACATCTTGAAAAAAACAAAATCCAAGGCAACTCTTCTCTGGTGCAAAAGTTAAAAGGCCTTTATGTATAAATGGCTAGTTCATGATGAACATTAAAATCACCAACGTGTTTCGGCCATGCTCACTGGCCTTCATCAGGGCAGTTCTTTTGGATGAACTTGAGTCTGTTTTTGCTGTGTCACATCATATTTCTTTTCTGATACATGCTCCAATATTTCCTTGTGTTTTCTGATTTCCAGGTTTCAAACGAGGAGCAGATCCAGGGATGCCTGAGCCCACAGTCTTGAGGTAAGGATGGATTGGTCTTGTATTTGTGCTTCTTGTCCAGTCATAGATGTGGTTTCAGAAACAGCAAATAGAATGGCGTGAAATGTAACGCCTAAAGGGAGTTTTCACAGCTTTGCACCACAGAAACGTATTTCTTGTAATCGTGGAATAGTCGAGCTTCCTGTCAAGTAGTTGTTCGAGCTGTTTTAATAACCGGCAGCAAAATGAACTCTGAAGTTCCATGTGTCATAATGCACGTAGTGATTTTGAGAAAAGATTGTAAAATTAAAAGTCTAATGAGTTTATTTGACACTATGGTTGTCCATAATTTTGGAGGCGGGATAATTCTGCTGCATCTTTTCAATATGTTTGCAATTTTCTGTCTGTTATTTTAAGTTTACATAGAAAACAAGACACTTACAGACATCTACAAATGTTCTCTTTTACTTAAAGTCCCCAGTCACAAACTGTGTCACGAGATGTGAAAAAGAAGCTTATATCTTTTACAAGAGTATTGGGTCTCTCCTCCCACAGTGTATGTCAGGTTTTGCAGCACATCTCTTAAAGGGATAGTTCGACATTTTAGCAAATTCGCCTATTGCCGTAAAGCATGTAGTCATGAGTAGGTACATTACCTTTGATTATCAGCACACAAAATGGAGGTGAACTGTACAGCCCCCTCTCTCCCTCAAAACTAATCAAATACACCATCAAATGACTCCAAAACGCTCTTGTGGACAACTTGAAGCTTACACATTCACCACGCTATGAAATAATCATGTAATATTACAAGACAGAGTTGTTTTGAAGCCAAATGCAGAGCCGGAACTACATTCCAGACATACAGTACTTGCTGGGCGGAGTGATTTCAAACAGTGTATGTTTAGTGCAGTTACTCCCGTCATCAAAACAACAAGTTTGTTGAGAAGAAGCCCTTATCCATAACATAACCACAACAACATTTGCATTTTAGCCTTATTTACCATGCTTGGGTTGTAGGCTAATGTTACTCAACATGGGGGTAACGTTACAGCAGAGAGATTGCTGAGCAAAATACACAACGATCACTTACCATGTCTGCTCGTTTAGTGATGCCGACAGATGGTATGGCAGTATCTTTCAAGAAACGCGTTTGAACCATTCCTGAGCTTCTGCACTCCATCCTCCGGTAAGAAATGGTTGGAGTAAACAAACATTTTCCGGACTGTTTCCACAGGCGTGTTGGGGTCGATGTCCAGCACAAATAGCCATTGTCTCATCCTGTCCGTATTTTTGGTTGGTACTACGTCAAACTTCACTCTGCTCCATGTCTTCGGCTTGTTACCGCAACCTTTTACAATACATGTGTAAACCATGATTTACAACAACACTCTGTGAACTTTCCTCAAACTTTCTGCTGCGTCCAGCTGACGATACCGCAAATGCAAGGCTGCAAGCAATAACTACGGCACTGTCTCAGGTATGCACTGTGTCACTCCGCCCAGTGGTTTACTCAAGAAAGTAGTTCCGAGTATTTGCTTCATGTGTCGTAATGTTACTTAATTATACATTATTATTTCATAGTGTGGGGAATGCGCAAGCCATGTGTTGTCCACTAGAGCATTCATTTGATGGTGTATTTGATTAGTTTTGAGGGAGAGAGGGGGCTGTACCGTTCAACTCCATTTTGTGCACTGAGCAGCAGGCAGCTCTGCCCCACCGATCTCAGAACAACAGGCACTGACAATTAAAGGTAACGTGCCTACTCATATGACTATAGGGATTACGGCAATAGGCGAATTTGCCAAAATGTCGAACTATCCCTTTAAATTTATTGATGTTTATGTCTTTTGATATCCCTCCATACTGGCGAATTAAATATTTTTGAACCTCCATTTTTCTTTTCTGTAGTTTGCTATGGGGCTAAAGAACATCTCCACACCGCCGGTCCCCTCCCTTTGTCAACACCATGTGACCCACCTGTCACTGAAAATCCAGGAAATGGACATTATTTTTGCTTCCCTGTCTATAAATACTCATGCTGTCTCATGTCTGAGAAGTAATGAATGAATGCTATGTGTGGCCATAATGTTTACGGCCACATGTACAGTAGATGCATGGAGATCTTCGGCTACATGGATAGAAGATACTTGGATTAACAAACTGGATTCAAGATGTCGTCCTGACAAAATATGTAGTGTTTGACTGGACTTTCTGTTGGGATTTTGTTGGTAGTGTGTCTCATTCCAGGTTTTTCCTCTTTTTATTTGTAATTTAAGATTTCTGAGAATAAAGCCACAAAGAAATGTCACTCTTGTCTTTATTACATAGGAGTCACATTGATGCTTCATCTCAAAACAATCAAAACTGGGTCTTTATTGTAAAAAAAAAAATTGCTGAAGAATTCACAAAAAAAATTTGTGTGGAAAATCCAGAATTGATTGATCCTTGTGTGTTTCATGATTAGTTAAGGTTGACATTTTAAATTTTGGAAATTCCACAAATTATGATTAACAGGTCACCGCTAACATGTTTTAGTTTTAACTGTTTTTAAAGTTTAACAGTTATATTTTCCAGCCTCCAGTGAAAACGCGTACATAAGGAGACTGATCAAAATCTGCATTTGACATCAATGGTTTATTGAAAATAGTTTAAAATGTGTGCCATGTTGGAATGAACAAACAAGCTTCTCATTTAAATTAATAAATTTTTATTTCTGCATGTGCACAATATATTCCTTCCAGTCACTAACTGGTCATGTGTGTTCAAAACACAGTAACAAATCCAGTCCAATAACAATAGTTGTAAATAAATAAGAGCACTATTGGTATAAAATCATCCTTCACAAAATAGGAGATAAAATTCTCAAAAATATTTTCTTACAAATATCAAAATCCAGAAATGAATCAACACTAAAATCATAAATAAAACATGCTTTTTTTTGGTGCAAGAAACCCACGATCATGGGTTTTACTATGACCAATAAATAACACTTTTCACCAAGTATAAATAGGTTAAATAAGTTGTGCAATAGTGGGCTATTTAAGCCCTTAGGCCTTCAAGATTTACAAAATCATAGATTGTGACTATACCGCACATACAGTTGGTGCACTCAGACCATGCATTTTCATCATCTCCCCATTTAAAACAAAAACACCTGAATGTGAGAACAGTAACAGTGTTAACGCCACCCAGTTTCCCTGAGATATTTCTCCATAACTGATTCTTAATATTCTCATCTTTTCAGCGTGTGTTAGATACCGATGGGTGCCATAGTCCTGACAGCCAGACTTCCTCTGAGCCTCTCCCTTTTATTAATTTGCCTCTTGCTGTCGAGGAGGAAGACGTGGAGCTCGCGCAGGATGCTGTGCGCGGTCATCTTTCTGTGGAAGGTGCTGGGGTTGTCGAGGTCCTTCAGGAGCTGTGTCTCCTGGCTGCTGGTCAGCGCCGTGACCTGATCAGGGTTCCTCATCTGTGGGGCAGAAGTGGCGGTGGAATAATATGATTAAGCAGTCCGGTATCATAATTATTAACGAAGAATTGAATCTAATTCATTACAAAGTCATCCACGATAAGACATGATGAAAAAGTTTTGAGCTGTAGGAAACACTGATCGACATTTTTCACCATTTTCTGACATTTTATGACTCAAGAAAATAAGTAACAGATTAATCAACAATGAAATTAATTGTTAGTTGCGGCTCTTATACGAAGTAGGTGAGATATAGTTTGACTGAAGCGCCTTGGAAGTCAAATGGTTACTGCACATGCTATGTCAGTGTAACATCACTCGTTTGATTACAACTGTGGGACCTCTAATGCATGTCATACACCTCCTTCTTACACTACTCGTCATCGTTCCAGTAAAGGCAAAAATGCCACCAAAAAACAACAACCTTACATTAATGCTTTGGTAACAATAATCTTAAAATGTAATGCATAATAATGTAACACTGACAGGAGGTATTTTGCTCAGTAATAAGTATGTTTTGTGATTTATCTAAATCATTCTTCCACTACTGGCTTTAACAAAGATGGTAAAAAAAAAAAACAGGTGACAAAGTAGGAATTAAAATGTGAAAGGCGACTATGCAGCATCTCAGACCCACCTTTCCTTTGGTTAGGCTGACCAGGAGGCCGCCGTAGTATCTGACCTCTGAGCAGATCAAGCTGCCGGGGTACTCCTTCTCCACGTGCTTGAGGAGAACTGTGTATTTAAGCACACCTTGGACCAACCGGTGGAGACAAGACTCCTGGAGAGAGGAAAGAAAATCACTGTTTAGCACTCAGCCTCACCCAAACACAAGTTCCTTTAATTAGTGCAACAGCATGACGACGGAGGAGACACTCTACCTTGCTGAAGTTGGAGGAAGGGCAGCCTGCTGGAAGTGAGGAGATTTTGTAGTGCTCCAGAAAATGATATTTCACCTCATTTTGGAATTCATCTTCAAACTAACAGAAGGGAAATGGCAAAGGAAAAACAGGTCAAGAGTGTGCACCTGCTCCAGTGCCATCTTTAAGATGCTGTGGCGCTCATGTTGTTAAGGTAATGCAAAGATAGTGGTATCTTGTAAAACTAGACAACCTAAGGCATCCATTAACACCAGGGGGGGTCAGATTAGATCATGTAAAAATACTTGGGGGGCAGCTGCTTTTCACATCAAATGCAAATGCAAATTGATCTTGCTTGATTAACCTTGTGTAAAGGGCCAAATACATTTTGAAAGTCAAGCCAAGAGCCGTTGAAAATTGTTCCCCGGGCCATGATTGGCCCCTGGGCTGGACTTTGGACATGCCTGATTAACACCATGCCATACTATCTTGCTGTGAAAGGGGCTAAATAATGCTCCAAAGTTAGGTTAGATTTTGGCGAAGGGAAAAACTTGCACGGTCAAAAGGGTCCCTTGAACTCTGACCTATAGATTTGTGAAAATGGGTTCTTTGGGTACCCACAAGTCTCCCCTTAAGATGAGAAAGCTTCCTAGCAAAGGTTTTGTTCCATACAGGCAATCTACTACTTTAAGATAAAGCTGTATATTTCTCTTTCAAGGAAAAGGACAACCAGCCTATAGATTACTATCCAACCCACCAGTATTCAACTCCGAAATTTTCATATTAATATATTTTTCACCCATACTACTACAGCAAAATGGCATCCCTGAAATTTATAGATTTTGGTTTTGTTGTGCCACCCCAACCTCTTCAATGGCCCCATCTGGCCACCTCTACAAAAAAATTCTGGGCTGCTCAGAAATTGAGACCCTTGTCATTCAGCTCTAACTTTAAAAAAAAATGTGATATTATTGGAGGATAAAACGCTTACCTGCTTTTCGTGGCGTTTAGTTGCGCCAAGGATGGAGTCCCAGACCGGGGAGGCGCTCAGGAGGTCAGGAGCCGCCAACTCCTCTTCACCTGACGGGTCACCTGTCGGGCTGTCGGTGGGCGCGTCCTCCACTGGAGCTCCGGGGGCGCACAGGAGCAGAGCCGCCAGGGTCACTGCAGAGAGCATGTACGCGTCTGTGCGGAGAGGAAAAACGTGAATGAATGAATGAATGAATGAAAAAAAGGAAGAGGCACAGGAAACGTGCGCACCACAGGATGCAAATCACTTACTGAGTGTAGAGGGCATGTTGCGCTGCGGGGAAGCACTTGGTGAGTTTCCACTGATGCTGAGGGCTGCCAGGGCCAGAAGAAGTTGCCTTGTCGTTGCAAAGGGCTGTCATTTTATATTCTTCAGACAGGAGGGATTTCCCGATACCTCCCTGCAACAGGCACGGAATCAAGAGTTTACGTCAAGCATCCGGTCCGGGATCCCTCCTGTGGTTGATGTTGATTTTAATAAAGATAGCGGAGTGTCGGGAATCTAATGTCGCTACTCTGGCTGAAATTAAAGAGTAAGTCATGGATTATTGGAACAATAAAGCACGTTTCACACACACACACACACACACACACACACACACACACACACACACACACTATCGGTTCTGACAGTTCTGGAGAAAAAAAAATCCCAATGATATTTTCAGCCATGTATTTTAAAGGGAAAATCCACCCCAAACCATAAAGTTGCCAAGCAGTATTCCAGTGACCTGTGGGGGGAAAATCAGCATAGGTTAAATAAATAAACAGACAGGAAGCCACATTTTCAGTGGATTTTTAATTTCAAGCACACACTGAAGCGCTAATAAGGATTGGCTGCATATCCCATGTGAATGGGGGCCAGCTTAGACAATGTGAAAAAAACTAGGGAGCAGCTGCTTCTCACATTATACGGGTTGTTAATCTAAAAGATCACATACAGATTTGACAGACTGTTTCATCATCCACTGAGGAAGTATTCAACTTTCCATCGCTCCTGAAAACGGTGGCCCTCGCTGTCGACTTTAGCTTCTTCCTTAGATTGTTTATCGTCTCTTAATGAAAACACACTGTGTAGTTCCTACTTGGTGCAGGTCTACAAACAAAAAGGATAGTCCTGCCATCTTGAGGTGAACAGAAAAAATGCCAAGTGATCTTGCTTGACTGATCAATAATGTGTGATGGGCCAAATATAGTAGGTTTATACTTTGAAAGGCAAGCTGTGGGCCTCTATTGGCCCCTGGGCCAAACTTTAGACATGCCTGCTAATCAGTTTCATCAGTCCTTTCCCAACTCTCTGTAGCTATATTTAAGGAATAGTATCCTCTTTGTACTTTTTTCTGTTTGAAAAAAATCTGACATTTTTAGAGTTGCACCTGCACTGTAATTTGAGCATCTGTCCATTTAAGAAGTAAGCAAATGTAATAAGTTACATTACTTTGATTAAGTAATTGAAATAGTTACATGATAGGGTAATTAGTTATCTGTAATATTTCACAAGAAAGCATCCCAACACTGCCTATATAGGCCTCAGACTTCCCCAATGTCAGCAACACTTGTGTAATGTAAGATGTTTTTTGTCACATGACCACCTGAAATGATCAATATCTGTCACACTGTGCCATCAAATAGGTATTTAATATCAAAGAAGTACATTTCTGCAGTAATACATTGATACAAGTTTAATTATTACTTGCCTTTTGTTTCATGAAATCAGTGGTTTTCTTGTTGTTTCTTCACAGTGCTGTTCTGTGTCATGTTCTGCTTCCAACATTAGTCACGATACTAGAATGACAGGATAAGGAAATGTTTCTTTTCACTCACATCTACTTAAAGTCGCTCATATCTTCTCCTTTTTATCAGTGAAAGTCAAAAAAAGTGCTAGTCAAAATATTATTTGTTGAGCCCTGGTATCTGGGTCAGCAGAAAAATAGAGACTACTGAGACATCATCATTTACTGTACTTGAAGGGGTAACGAGTGATAAGCTAAGAAGCAAAACATGGAAACGTTTGCTGGCCTGCTGAATCACAAAAGGTGTCGAATTAAGTTTTCTAAACCTTATGTTTTCTGTTAGGTTCTCGTTTGTGGTTCCATAGAAGCCACACAGATCTATTCAAACTACAGAGAAGCAAACTGTATTATTATATGAGATGTATTAGTTGTGTTACATTTATTGTATGACACTCACAGACATGCTGAACTCCAAAAATACATGTTACATCGGAAGAACTTTCTCACACTGAATCACCACAAGATTGCAAGTTACAGGATGTACATACTTGTGAAGCAAGAGGGCAGCTTGGTTTATTAGCACACTTACAACTTAAATAAAATGACAATAAGTTCCCGTTGTAATCCTTATTGATATCAATTAATATACATTGTGCTTAGTATTTTTCAAACATAACAAAATAACCAAACTAATTTCATTCCAAACCCCTTCAATAGAGTGACGGTCATCTGTTCCAGTGATTCAGTTTCAACCTCTGTGTTCCAACACCATCTTAGCTGATTGTAATTTGTGCTTGTTTTCAGAACTGGTATTCTATTGTAGATTGAAGAAAATGTTAACATTGTAGATGGCAATGTAAATGGCAACCTCCAGGCCTGAAAAATGAGGCCAACACAAAAGTGCCAAAAGCTGCAGTTCCACTAATGGCCACTTGAGGGAGTCTCCAGAAGCCAGTCAATCCCCATAGACCCCCATGTGAAAATGCTCAACTTTACAGCAGAAATAAACATGTTTACAGCCTGGTACAAAAACGTTTTTGGTCCCTACAGCTAATAGACTTAAAGACTTAAAGTTATGCATTTTTGAGTGACAGGCTGTCTGCTGATAGTTTAGTCATCTTCTGAGTCAGGTCCACCCCTTGCGCTGTCACAGCTCCAACCTTTCACCCAAATATAGTCACTTCTGGCTCCAAAAAACCAAGAAGCTGATAGCCAAAATGACAAACTCGAGGCTTCAAAACAGGAGTCCACAAACTAATGGGTGGCGCCATGATAGCTCACCCATTATTTTAGCAGTCTGTTGTGTCTGCAAACTGCAGATACCTTACATTTGTACTTTTCATAAAGAGATGTAGTTGTGATATGTATATGAGCCGACTTTCATCAGGAGGTGGAGGGAATGATGGATGGTGTGACACATAGCCAATATTGCTACCAAGCTGCAGACTGCTGTTCAAGACTGACAAACAACAAAACTGGTGTTCTTTAATGAGACGTTGGCAGCATATACAACCATGACTGTGGCACCAAAAACATGTAAGCCAAAACATTATCTTTTCCAAACCATAACCAAGTGCACTTTGTGCTTGGAATAAATTGACATACTAATTTTGGTGATCCCTGAGCAACATCTCTAATTCTTTAATTTGCCCAACACTTCGGTTTAAGACTAAATACCTGCAAAACTACAATAACATTACCCTCAACCTCAGTTGTAGGCTAGTCTGTTAAGTGCTGATTAGCAATTACTAGCTTGCTAACACAGTAAACCGTGATGGTGAACATGGTAAACACATCTACTAAACATTGTCATGTCAGCACTGTCATTGTGAGTAGCCTACTTTAGTATGGCATGCTGACATTAGCACCCATACAGCCTCACAGAGCCAATAACTCGGCTATAGACTCCTGTTTTAGACTAATCCAGTGCAGGATGGAAGTGCTAAGATCTGAATTCTGCAGAAACTGTTTCTCGGTAGCCTCCTGAATCTTGACTATCGTAAAAGAGATCTGTGTGACTACAGTGCTCTTCACACACACACCCGTGTGACCCTGCAAGCAGCAGGAGGGTTTCTCATCTCCTTCCCTTTCCTGGAAAGCTCTTCAGGAGAATAACCGACGCAAATCCTCATTGTGTTTTTATTCCACTTTAAAATCCTGTTTAGTTTCACTATCATGTGGTCAGTTTCTTCCGTACATTTCAGAAGTGACGGTGTCTTCCTCCAACAAGTTTTAGTTATGTTATTACAACTTTCTTTCTTCACATTCTTCTTCTTTCCAAAACAAAAGACTTGCAAACTTCCTTGCTTCCCTTAAACTCAGCATCAGAACATGCATGATCATTTACTCTACAGGCTTTGTGAGATACTTTGCAATCAAAATATTCACTCTGTTAAAAATTCCATCTGCTACTATTTGGCATTGTCCTTTAGCTTTAAGACTGCCGTGGTTAAACCTTGACTTTAAAAGCACAACTCAATCCAGGGTCTTTTAATCATTATCGACATGTCTCTAATGTTTTTTTCCTTTTTTAAAACACAACTTTCAGACCATATATGAAATGGTAAACTGTTTAACTCTTTCAGTTTGCCTTCAGGGCCTGTTACTCCACTGAAACTGTGCTTACTTAAGTTGTAAATCATCTCCTTAACAGGGATTCAGGTTTCACCTCGGTGCTTTTACTACTGGATCTTTGCTTTTGACAAGTGATGATAGTATACTCCTTAATTGATTGGAAACTTATAGGCATCTCTGGCTTGGCTTTTGTATGATTATAATCTTACCCATCTGAAAGAAGACAGTGTGTTTCTTTTAATTATTTGACACTGATATTTTCTGTTGTAAAATATGGAGTACCTCAGGGTTCTGTTATTGGCCCTCTGTTTTTCTTGCTATAGATCTCACCTCTAGGCCAAATCATACGCAGTAATGAAATTGATTCCTGCTGCTACGCTGATGATACTCGGATCTATGTGCCCATAAAGAGATAAAGAAATTAGAGGCCTGCTTGTCTACTAGGAAAATTGGATGGCATTTCTTGCTCCTAAACTCAGATAAAACTGATCAAACCAGTTTGATCAACTAACAGTCCATTCCACTAAATCCTGTCTTTTTAACAGCACATTGAAGATATCACCAAGATTGCCTTCTTTCACCTGCCCAACATACATGTAGCTAAATTCTGACCTTTTTTAAGCCATGGCAGATACAGAGATCCTAATTCACACCACTGAATCATCCAGACTGGATTATTGTAGCGCTTTGTTGTGTGCTAGCACTGGAAGTCCTCAAATGGTTCAGAATGTGCAAAGATTTGACCATATTAGACCAATTTTAGACTCCAAATCCGTGTCAGAGTAGACTTTAAGGTGCTTATGATGACTTACAAAATTGTAAATGGACCTGTCCCTTCCTTCCCGTCTGATCTCCTTAAACTTCCTATTCCATCCAGGGGCTTCCTGCTGTCAGAGTATAGGGTTCCTCTCTGTCCTCAGAGTTAAAAAGAAGTCAGAAGGCCACAGAGTCTTTTCCTAAC